TTATTCCAACTATTTGTTTTGAAGTAATAAATTATATAAGATTATCTGGATATGAAAAAAATCAGAAAAATAAACTTACACAGTCTTGTKGAGAAAGAAAGGATTGTTTTCCCCAATTTCCTAAGAACTTCRATGGTGTTTAAATATTTCTAGGTTTAAAGGTCAAAAGGAACAAAAACTACCTACTCTGGCATCATAAATCATAAAACTCACTTCGCAGGATAAACCTACCAGAACATATTAATCTTGCTCTACACAAATTTATATGAATTTTGCCAAACCGGAATTAAAAAAACATATCCAAAACCACTCAGAACCTAATAATCCTCTTTTGTGCATAAATGTCGTAAAACCACTCTAAAATGATCTATACAAGAATATAAACAAATGCTGTTGCCACAATAACTCACTTAAAAAAAGCCGGTTACAAGAGTATAAAACTGTGTGTATAAATCTTAACTCATCCATTAAGTCCACCATAGATAAAACATTTTAGCCAAAGATATCCTCTTACCATGAAAGACATATGAGGACAACTGCCTAAAGCACTGACAGCACAATTACCATTCACTACGTTTTCCTCCACAAAGAACTTCTTAAAAAACTTCTAATATTCTTGCAAAAGAATATGAAGAAATTTTAGTAAAAAAACAGTAGCAGAATAAACACAGTAATTTCTATTCAAAAATACTTTTCCGGAAATAAATCCCCCTACCTAAAGTGTTTTTCACTGAGGATGACATTAACCACAAGGGAATCCTCAGGGAAAACTTGGCAGTAAAATAAAGTCATGGCTAAAGCAAAAGAAGACACTACTTTTGCAGAGTTTTAAACCTGTCACTTACTGCTTGGACTCATGGTGACAAACCTCCAGCGTTGGATCATTATAGATGAAAGCTGCTTCTAGATCATTGACTCTTACTCTGTAAATTCGGCACTGTTTACTGTTCAGCTTGATTCTGTTCAGGTTTGCAACCGTGGGAAATATTGTCAATTCTACATAACCCTAGGAAAACACAAATCAACATCTTCTATTAAAATCTTTATCAATTCACAACATAAGCAAATAAAATACTAAGTTTATCTGTTCTTATTTGTGTATCTTCAAAGAAAATCATAGGAAAAGTTAATGCAAATGTCAATGTTATACTTAAAGGGAATTATGCTTCCTTTTAGATAAAATTTAGCCAGTGAATCTTCCCAGCTGTGAAATTTAATAGGAAAAAAAACCAACCTTAAGATGATCAAATAAAAACCCATAGTCCAGAAGTGACTTATCTCTGTTGACTAGTTTTCAAGTTACCAGCATTCTCTTCTACCGCTGTGTTTTAGATCTTGGCACTTGAGTTTGAGACTGTGATTTTTAAAGCCTAAGCAGAATCCATTTAGGCAGATATTTAAATTTGCTAAGATCTCCAAATCCTTATGGCCTGAAAGCAGGCAAGTCTCTTCACACCTGAAGTGAACCCACATACAAGCTACAAAATTCTGCAACTCTATCCCTAAAGTCAACTGACAGAGTGCTGAGAGGTGATTCTGAATTGCAAATTGTTTGTAATACTTAAAATACAAACACCACCTTCTTCCAAGAAAGTTTTCCTCAGAGATTAAAGTATTCACTATTACAAGATGTTTTATTTGATACATTTCAAGCAATAAAAGACTATGAAAGCCAGTTGACTAGAAAGCCATTAATGTAAAGAAGCTGAAGAACATTATCTGCTTGTGTGTAATTGCTTCCTCTAGAAACATGAAGAAAATTCAGACTTTTATTCCTACTTTTGTATTTTATTGAAAAAAAGTACTTACAACAACAGACCTTCTCTGAAAATTTATGTTGTTGATACAAACTACCTGATGAGTCGTGCTGGAAGAAAAAATATATTTGAAATAAGTTACACAGTATTTGTACATTTTAACATTTTAAATGACATTTTAACTCAAGTAAAATAGAGATCATATATCTCTCTCTTTATACAGAGAGTGATTATATATATATATACACACACACCTATATGGTATATACACATATACTAGTATAGACAGGACACAGAAGGTAATAATGCAGAAGACATACTGCATACATTATATATTTATTATAGGGAGAATTCATACATAATGCTCTAAGTCTCCAAGTCAGAAAAGTTCCAGTAAATTCTAAGTATCACACGACTGTGAATATTACTGTTAATAGAAGGGCATAACAATATAGCTTTTGAAAGTCCCCTAWGAATGTCAAGGTTTAACACTTTAAGAAGTTCCAATATTAAAAATGAAATGCAGCTGCAATTTGCAATGAAAGTTATGCAGGACATTTACTTGGTAAGCTGACTCTCACATACAGTTTATGTAAGAAGGCACTACATAGATAAGATATACACTTTTACAATTAGTATATCATAAGAATTTAAGTAATTGTGATATATGTTAACCAAAGCAGAAGTTTTAAACACTTTAGATGTACCTTTAATTTTTAAATCTTGTTCTTGGACACTTCAAATAAAACAGTCAAACAGCAGTTAAAAGAGTAACTCCAACTTCTTAAAAGTTAAAGTTACATCTTTCTGTAGTATGCAGTTTCTTCATCATGCTTCTGAGTATTATCGATCATAATGCAAATTCCAGACTCAGAATAACTCAACTTTTACACCACGTCACACATTACTACACACTGACACACTTGTGCATTAAAAGATGCTGCTTCATTTCAGCAAGTTCAACAGAAATTTTTGTAAGAGAATCACAGCATCTAGTTTCCTATGCCAGATTATCTATGTTATTAAAACGCATATGCTAACAGCRGCAATTTCATTTTAAAATATCCGTGTTACAGATTTATAGATAAATCAACATAAAAAACAGAGATAGCCACTGAAATCAACAACCAGTTGCACTCAAAATAAATAAATAAATGGCGCTTTGGTGCATGCACCAATTTATTCAGCAAAGCAGCTCAGCACTGGTGTTCGGTGTGACTCAAACTACTTCTACATGTTAAATAAATAAATAAACAAACAAACAAACAAACAAACATCCTATATCAAATGACCAGGGCTTGGCACCTTCAGGGAACATTAGGACTGAAATGTGATGTAGGATCCGGAGTGCTAATATTGCCTGGAAATTCCTCTATAGTTTGAAGAGCACAAAGATTTTTTTTTTTTTTTTTTTTTTTTTTTTTGCAAGGCTGAGAGCTCCCTGGCCACGGGATCACCCTGGATCCCATGGATCCCATCCACAACACGTATTTTCCTGCAGACGACAGCTCCAGCCTCCCCTGAGGCAGGTGATTACGGATCAGCCCGCGGCCTGCTCCAAGCACACGTGCATCTCAGGTATAATAATTTTTTGGGAAAAAAATAAATACTTAAAGATACTTATAGTTTATAGGGCCTGGGGCTCTCGAACCCTTTGTCTCCCTTCTTCCTGTTCATGCTGGCAGCGGCTCGTGGCGCTCGCCCTCACGCAGGCATCAGCACCGTCCCGCGGCGGCGGCTGCCGGGCTGCTGCAGGGC